GTGCCAGGCACCGACATCGAGGAAGCGTCCCAGAGGGGTCCGCTCGGCGGAAGGGGCGGGAGTAGGAAATTAGGACAAGCTAGAGATAAATGCAGGGGGATTAGGTAGATCGTCGCCTCTCCTTTCAATCTCCAAAACGGGGATACTGAGGACGGAGAGTTTTCCGCAGTCCCCTTGCCTGGATCCCAGGGTCCCTGCGCTGGGAGCCCCGCTCTCCGTGAGCTCTTGGGCTCTGACTGATGGGGCCTAGCCCGCCCTGTCCACTCCACGGAGGATGAGCAGCCGGCCGGGACCTCTGAGCTCTTTGCTCTGGGTTCCTGGGTTCCCTGCTCCAGAGGGTTCCTGGAGCACAGGATGTGTCCTGCCACGGTGCCCCGACCACACCGCGGGTGGGAGCAGAGAGCTGCCACCAAGGGCTTGCACTACCCCATGTCTGGAGCGGAGGTGCGACACTCTGGCGATGGCGCTGCAGCAAGAGCTCCGACAGCGGGGAGACGTTACACCAGATTCCAGGGCAGGACAGGAAAGAGCAGCCGGGGAGCGCAGTGCCTTCAGCACTGCGAAGTTCCCCCAGCCCGCGGTCGACACTGCCCGTGGGCAAACAGGTCCTATCAGGGCATGGGAGCACGTTCAATCGGGGGATTCACAACCGGAGAGGTCGGTGCAGTGGGGCTGATCTCGGCCGTGCAGACTGAGGTCAGGGAGACTCCTCAAGACGGATGTTTTTCTTCTCCGAATTTTTAATTGGAAAGAGTTAAATGGAATTAAAGGAATGAAATAAACATCTGAGGAGGAATGCTACCCCGGCATGTTACAGAAGGTCGGTAGCGAGGTCACTCGCACAAACATAACTCGCACCCTTCATACCAGTGCTCGGGCTTCAGTTGTGCGACCTTCTCCTTGCGCGTCTTTGCCTGTGCGGGGCCCGGCGCTGCGGCTGCGCCGAGGGTTCGGCAGCCCGTGTGAGGCGCTCGGGGCCAGCCCACACCTGAAAGCCATCCAGGATACAGGCAGCTCTTCTGCCGCCAGTTCATGCCAGGATGAGCGGCTCCAGCAGCGGCAGTCGCAGCCAGACACCACATGCTTCTCTTCTCCTGACTGCCCGGAGTGGGACACATCTGGTGGATAATGGGCGGTAACTGCAGCTGGATTATGTCAGGGCGGTGCTTGGATCATATCTGGTGCCAAAAACGGGAAAAAGGCTGGGAAGTTGCATGGAGCCTCATGACGTGAGGGCAGTACCACAACGCCAGTCTGAACTGCTCCAAGGCTTTGTCCTTGGCCTCTACAGAGAAGCGAATTTATTGCTCCCACAGGAGCGATGAAGACATATGCAGTCATATTTCCAGTGCTCTCAAACATCGCTGTGACAAGTACCGAAGAAAATGAGAGCTTTTACATATTCAACGCACTTGTAACGAGTGCAACATTCACGCTGAGTGGCAAAAGAAAAAAGTTGTTATCAGGGTGCTGTCCCATATCCCCCAGACCCTTCAGTCTCCTCTATAGCTTCTGTTCTCAGCCCTGTTGCTGGACATACCCTCTATCTCAAGGGTCTGCCTCAGGCAGGTCTGCCTCCCTGGATAATCTTGTTCCCCATGCAGACATCCTCGTCCAGCAGGCTGTTGGGCAAAAGACGTCCCTCTGTCCCCCAGTTATTGCTTATCTGATTCCTACCAGAGTGAATAGTGGCAGCTGAGATCTCTCCTGGGTCTGTCCCCTGCAGCTCGCTGGTCAGCTCTGCAGGACTCATAGGAACTCAACGTCTTGGAGACTGTGGCGGAGCTGTCACGTCGGGTGGCTGGTTTGTATTGATCATAGAGTTTATGAGTTATGAGGGAATGAGGGTAACTTGCAGAAAGATAAGCACAGCGACTACATAATCCTTTTTTCCATGGATAACTAACTCTCAGAGGAATATTAAATATGGAACTGAACACTGCTTGTCTTGGGCACTGAGTGAGGAAAAACTGCACTTCACACTTTGTGGGAGGAAAAAAAGGATAGAAAGGAGAAGGGAAAATAAAAAAAGGAAACCCCAACACATTCTAATGTAAATTTGCCTAAATTTCTAACTGTTGAATGTTGCACGTGGAAATCCTACAATACATTTACTGCAAGTTAGGGTACGCTCAACTTCCACTCTTGTTACACTGACTTGGGCTGCCTAGTGCTAAGTTCAGGTTGAGCTGGTTGTACCAGCCTTTTGAGATGTGTCATGGCAACCCATTGCACCATTCCTCTTTTCCAAATTGTTTAGCATGAAACATTCACTTTGAAACAAAATGAAATCTGGTGATTACAGCAACTGTCTCAACAACAGAGCCTGTGTGCAATAATCATATGCCACTAGTACCTCTCAACCCTTGAAAGGTACATACAAAACCATTGATTATTATAAGACATAACTTCATTTTCCTTTTATTTTTTATTTTTAAGGAATTGTTGAATACTGCAGTGAAGAGACTCCTTATTGTGTATCTTCTAGAAACAGAGGGAAATACCAGTTTATTCACTAAGGTGCATGTTTCCACAGAGTTACACTGAGAACACATACACTCTGCCAAGTGTATCTTTACAGTTTTAAAATATCTTTGAGTTTTCCAGTATCCCTAGGTCTTAATTTCAGACTGTCATGCTTTTTCTCACCCAGCAAAGCTTTGTTTTCCCAGGCTGCTGCAGGCCTGTTGACTCCCCCCTCTTACATAATGGGATGACACTGCTGAGAGGGTGGGCAGGACTTTTTGTGTAAATAAGCTCCCAGAGCTTCGAGGTTGGAAAAGACCCATTGTGATTATAGAAGCAAGCTAGACACAGGTGAACTGAAGCAGAAGAATGATAGTTTCCAGAGACCACTTCAGCAGATTTTAGGGAAAGAGGATGCAACCCATTCAGCCAGACCCTCCATGAGTTCACCTGAGAGGAAGTCACAAGGACCTCAAGCCTTTTGCCCTCTGGTCTCCCCAGGCTGGCAAGTGAGGGGACTGCCACTTTGGTAAACAACATCCCCAGGTGCTCATGGGATCTGGGCTGCTGACCTCTGTACTCAGCTAAGGTAGTGAGATGGAACAGTGAGATTTTGTATTTGTTTTTTTTAAGACCAGGCTAGAAACATCGGTCCTGCCTTCTCCTTCCCTTCCTGTCACACTGCTGGTTGTGCCTACGCCCCAAGCCCCAAAGCTGGTCCAGGCTGTGGGGCAGTGCCCACACCAGGCCCTCTCTATCCTGCCCCAGCCCTATTCGTGCACCTGGCCTCTCCTCCAAGACAGGCAAGCAGTGCAAGTGTCAGTGTGCTGTGGCTGCATCTCTCTCCAGCATTCAGGGTGCTTGCAGGCAAGTCAAATTGGAGACTCACCTCTGAGCTGAAGCTCTGAAGTTAGGGATCAAACAGGAGAAATGTAGTGACTGTTGAGAGAATTATTTACCAAAAAGGTTTTGCCACCGTTTTGGAGGTTGAAGTCAAAAGTGTAAATTGCATTAGAGGGATTGTGTTTCCACCCAAGGAAAAGAAGTGAGCAGGGAATAACATAGCATGCAAAAGGCACTTCTGATTTGCTCATATGCTGTCTGCCGGTACAGTAGGAATTAGAAAAAAGTTATAAAGAGACTTATTTGGGACTGACTAGCTCCAGCTCCATCCTGCTCTGCACCAGCCACGTTCAAGGAGCTCAGGATGGGCCATCCAAGGCAGAGGCGGGATGGGGCCTGTGGTTAGGTGCTGCACGAGTGGATTTGTCCTCAGATCTGCTCCCTAAGCCTGGCCAAGCACTTGAATGACATCAACACCAAAAACACTGGACACCGTCTCGGTGCCTGAGACAAAAAAAAAAAAAATCAATTATTTCTGTGTAACATCCCCCTGGAATAACATAAACAGAGCTTCAGCCTGGCGAAGGGCCGATGTGCACAGGCAACCTCCTCGGAGGTGGAAAAGCTGGATGGTGCTGAACGGAGCAACCGGGCCGGGCAGCATCGCCACAGCGGGACGCGGGGCGGTGCGGGGAATCCTGGCGCGCAGCCCCTCGCTCCAGTCCCGCTGCCAGGATCGGCGGTCCTGGGCCAGCGGCAGGCGGGTGTCCCCGACGCTGTGCTGCCGGGCGAGCAGACGGGAGAAAGCTGTCAGTCGCCAGGAGGGCGTTCGTTGGCTCTGGCTGTGAAGGAACACAAAGCTGCTGGGCTCAGAGGACAAGGCTGCATTTGCATTCCGGCTGGAGCGGAGTCCCCCCCCCTTCTCTACCTCGCAGCCGACCCGAGTCGCAGGGGAAGAGAAAACATATTCCTGTTAGTAGCCGATGGCTTTTATTTTTACTCTTTACGGAGATCTGACACATATACAGCGATGCTTTCACCGTACACAGGACTATGAAGAAATGCACCTTGCCCCAGCCAGTCCCCTTCGCTGTTGGGACTGGGCTGGTGCTTGGAGGTGGAGGTGGGTGTGGGGGGATAAGAAGAAAACATTAAATTCTCATCTGATCTCATTTATTTAAATAAATATAAATATAATTTTTATATAAAACTATTCACAGACAAACAGCCGTTCCAAACCCAAACGACCGATCTTTATGTCTCTTCTTATTTTTGTTAAGAAGTCCGTCCAGAAAGTTCTCTACAGGTTTTAGTTTGCTTTTCAGGTTTTGATGCCTCTCTTATCGGTTCCAAATGCGTTTGTTTTTTGCCTTTAAATTGCTTGGGGGCAGATGGAGGAAGGCACCCTGGGCCATGCGAGTTTTGTCCCATGTTACGTTAGGAAGAGCAGGTGCTCTGTCCTAGGGTTACATAAATAACGTTTTAGTTGAACTCTCACGACTAAAACATTTACATTCCGAAAATATATTTATATATCTCTTTCTATTACTGCAAAGGGATGACAATCTCCCTGGCGAGGGAGGGCAGGTTAGCGGGCTGCCGTCCCTGGGCAGAGGTGCCAGGTAAGCCGCCGTGCCGCCACCCCGCTCCGGACTGGGACCCGGCGGCGGCAGCGGAACTCCGAGCCAGGCTCATAACGGGGAGACCTCTTTATCCTCTGTAGCCGATGAGGGGGATAGAGACTCTTCGTCCTCCGACCGGGGGTAATGCCCCTGGCTGGTGCTGCACTTGCAGCCCCCGTGCGAGTTTCGCTGGGTGCCTTTGCCTTCTTTCTTGTGCTTCACCCTCCTGTTTTGGAACCAGATTTTCACTTGCTTCTCGGACAGGTTCAGGTACGTGGCTATCTCGATCCTCCGCAGCCGGGACAGGTACATGTTGGAGGAGAATTCCCTCTCCAACTCCAAGAGCTGGGTGCTGGTAAAAGCTGTCCTCATACGTTTCCCGTTTTGAATTTGGCTGGATTCGGACCCTCCTGGATGGGAGAGAAGCGCGAACTTCAGCGTGACGGGGGAAAGGAGAAGAGGGGGAGAGAGAGAGAGAGGGAGAGGGAGAAAGAGAGAGAAGGAGAAAAGACATTCTCCCTCAGCTTTCCGACCCGGGGCAGCCGCTTTCCCTCGGGGGACCCCCTTCTCCCGCTGCCCCCCCCCTTCCCGGCGGCCGCAGGGCTCCTACCCATGCCGAGGCAGTGAAACCTCCGGGGGTCGCTGACGCTGTAGGTGGTGGCGGCGCAGGCAGGTGGGTGATGCGCAGGGTGTCCCAGGGCTGCGGCGGCGGGCACCGAGGCGGCGGGCGGAGGGTGCTGCGGCGGGTGGTGAGCGTGGCCGGTCCGCGGGCAGCACTGGGCCTCGCCTGCGGCGGTGGGGAACTGGCTCTTGAGCAGAGGGATGGCCCCGCCGCCGCCGCTGCCTCCACGGGAGGAATGCAGGTGCGAGGTGACACAGAGCGGGCACACGCAGAAGGCACCGCTCTTTCGGGACGGGCAGCCCGGGCCCGACACCGACATGACGAGAGGAGAAGGCATGCTGAGAGGGATGAAGAAGTCCTGGCCGTGATGATGCTCAGGCAGGGACGGAGCCGGCCTCGAGGAGTCCTTGATGATTAAGGAGTCGACGTAGAAGGAGCGGGACATTGCGGAGAGCTGCGAGGCCGGAGACGGCTCTCCGAAAGTCGGGATTTTCCTGCTTGGCCAAGTTGCCACTGAAGTCCTGGCAAGTCGAGAAGGTGCTTATGTTTGAGAGCTGAACAAAAGGGTCCCTGGAGAGGGCTGGTCTTAAAGTTCCCCCGCCTGGATCCCCTGCGCCGGGGTTTTATATCAACTATTTAAACACGTGATGGCTGAAAGCCTCGCAGATCTAAATCTCCCCGGGTTCCCAGGCCGGCAGGAGAGGCTGCCGGGGGGGGGAGCAAAGCGGGGTAGGGGGGCGGCAAAGTGTGCGTGTTTGGTCGTTGCCCGATGACTTCACCCCTTCGCCTCCGCCTCAGATAAGTTATAGCAGCAGAGAAAGAGGGGAGGGGGCGGCTGCCCCACGGCTGCGTTACACGTCGCGCTCGCAGGCATATCCCCCTCTTCAACAAACACGGGGTGTTGGGATTTTCCCCGAGAAGAATGCTCCTTTCCTTCTCCAGGAGGGAACAAGAGGTGAGAACAGGTGATGCGTTGAAAGATGCGGGTCAACGCCTCCCCACTCACACCCAGTCAAATAACACCCAAGGAGCCGTGGATCCCACGGAAGCCTGGGACCAACACCTTTCTCCAGTCTGGTCCACTCTCTGCACTCAAGACTCCTTCGGGAGGCCCTTTCCGCATCAGAGGAGCCAGGGACTCAGATGCAGACATGGATATAAAGTTAGGGATGGTGCGCGTTAGTGTGTCTGCGCATACATATACACGTCGGGTGGGTTGAGTGTTTTTGGGTTTTTTTTCCCCTCGCCCTTTTCACCCCGAGTGAATCTTGTCAAATTGGCAATTACTGCAACGGACAAAGCCTTCAAATATCTGGACACTTCTCAGCCAAATGGTATCAAAACGGAAAACTTCCAAATGAACTTCCCCGCCCGCTCCAGGACCGCAGTGCGCAGCGCTAATGAAAAGCGAACATGTCAGGGAGGGATTCTTTGATCTCCACCAAGTTTGCTGAAGCAATCACTCAAAGTAAAATTGGATAAACAGCTAAATACGGTCGGTGGCTCCGAAGCATTTCAGAGTGCATTAAAAAGCCAAGGTATTCGCAGATTTTCCAATGACCTGTTTTATGGGAGTTTAAGAAGACCCTTGTCATTAATAGAAGGGCGATCGTATTCTTCTTCGGCAGATGCGAAGCGCCCGTTAAAACCGAGTGCAGATCCCATCCCACTTGACACGGGAAAGGGAAGCGACAATTGTGCTCTAAAGCAGAAAACACAGACTATGCCTGATTACCAGAGGCTGAGCATAGTCTCGGGAGTGCAGCAATAGCCGAAACGTGTTCAAAAGCGGTTGTCGTGAGCAAGGGCCAGGCCGGACCACGGGCATCCTATCAGCCCTCCCGCACACCCACTCTCCCGCTGTTAAAACCCAGCAAAATAAAACTGCCTTCTTGGTGGAGCCGGCATTTCGGCGCGCGAGACCAGGGAGGCTCCGCGGTGCAACTCGAGCCTTGCTAAGAGAAGGGCCAGGTCTCGCCCTGCTGTGCTGTCCCGTCCCCAGCCTGCCACGGGACAGTGCTACTGTGCGGGCCCCTCTGAACAGGGGCCGGTTCTCCCCCAGCCCTGCTCGCCTTTCCCCCCCGCACCTCCTCGAGCATGCACGATGCAACGGCGTTTTTAGGGACACTCCGCACTCAGCAATCTGAGGATTTATGGATGGCAATTAAAGTTTTATGAATTGCAGCTGAGGCTGGTTATGAAGCTATTTGAATGTGATTAGAATTCAATTAGAAAGTGTTTACCGGCCGGCGGGGGCTCCGGAGTGTAAACAGACAGCTATTCCAGCAATGCGCTAATCCCGCGTCTTGTGACAACAATTAGGGGCTCGCGGGGTTTAGGCCGGTCGGCTCCGACCTCACCTACTTTTCCCCAAACCGCTGTCGAGGGCCCAGCCGAGGCCCCGGAGCCGTCAGACCCCAGAGCTCCAGGGACCGCTGCCCGCGCCGCCGCCGAGGCCCTGGGATCGGCGGCCCCGGGATACACCGGGGCTCTGCCTCCTGAGCTCCGGTGGGCCGGTGAGATTCTAGTCACGGTCACCGTGCACAGGCATGGGATTCTTTTGTCTGGCTCCTCCCGTTTGAAACACAACTTACCTGGAGAAGATTTGAGTTAATATCTGCATTTTATTTTATTTTATTTTTATTCATTTATTATTTTCCTTTATGAGAGGCTATTCTGGAAAATGATAATAATAACAACAATAAGAATAATAATACAAGCTCAAACCTCAGTGGAAACAGCTATGTGCAGTGATGGAGTGGATCTGGGGAAGGGGCTGTCGTAAGGGAAGGCAGACAGAGTAAGAGTCAGATCAAAATTGCAATTTGTAATTGTTATAATAAACCAAGTGTGGTGATAAAAGAGAGAGAGCGAGAGAGGGAAAAACACTAAGAAAAACCCACCCCTGAAAGCTAGAGCAAGAAAAGAAGTCATTTGAAAGCAAAGACATCCCAAACCAGGCGGAATGATGCAAGGCGTGCGCCCACATCACATCGGCCTCGTTACAATTTTATTTTTCAATAATTCTGTCCGATAAAATTTCATTGTCCATTAAGTAATCCCCGAAATGAGAGCTCTTATGAGCCTATAATGAGCTCTAATTGCTACGACTGGGAGAGCCACGTGGAAGGATTTAGAAGGTATTAAGCAGTTGGGTACAGAGCACAGGCTGTTACCTAGCCATTACTTTCATAATTCAAGGAGAAAATTAGTCCTTTTAAGGGAAAATCCTTTGATTCCCTTCATTCTGCTCGGGGTGACAGAGTATAGCTTTGTCTGCCTTTAGTTCAAGACAGTGTAACAAATGAGAATGTAACGAAATTGCCCCCTTTTGAAAGTGGAGCAGTTCAAAAAGAACATCAGAGCCGCTCCCCTGGTCCGCCGAGCGCAGGACTGGGTGCTGGTCCCTCTTTTCTTCCAGATGTCTCTAGCACCTTTATGTAGAAGAGATTCACGGCTCAAATGACAAAGCAACTCTTTCCCTTCCCTCCCCCAACCCCCGCAGCTCTCGGCAGAAGAAAAAGCCATGCCCGCCCGGCGAAAGCGACGGCTTTTAGGCGCGCATCTCCCCTGAGTTCACGGGAGGAGCTGCCTCCGTGGAAAGCGCCGCAGCCCGGGGACACGTTTCGACCAGGAAAAAAAAAGGCCAAAACAGCAACCCCAAAACAACCTCCGCAGAGCAGCCGTGGTCGCAAACAGCGCTTGGCAGGATGCACCCCGAGCTGGGGCAGTTTCCGTACGGGAAAGCCCCTTTTAAAATAAAGCCGTGCGTGGGTAAGCGAGGGGCCGCGGGCTCCTGCGCTATAATCGCGTTTGTTCGCTACTCTAACATTGATTTCCTATTACTTTCCAAAGTGATAAGCGATCTTGACGCCGGCTGTTTAGAAGTGAACGCAAGCAGAAGACAGGACTTGCCCCCAGCTCCCATTAAGGAGGTCATTATAAAAGCGTGAACAAGTCTATTAATGTTTTATTGAAAGCGCATCGTTAACTTGTATCCATCCTTTTCTAAAAGTGGCATTGTGATATTGCTGTCTGTGGCACATCTTACCCAATATAGCCCGAGATTTCTCCATTATCTGTAACCAAGCAACACTTTCTGAATACCAAAAATTGAAAAGAACCGCTTAGTCTTCAAGAAAGTCCTCAATAATAGTGGAAAAGAACAAAGATCCAGGAGACAACAAAATGCCACAGGGGTGACTTTTCATGAGCAATTATCTCTCATTAATCAGAAGAACAGCTGCAATATTAATTTTCTCTCTTTCTTCCTCTCTTTTCACAGTCCCCAACATTTGAATAATCATAAATTTTGATTTCATGGAGCAGCAACATTGCCAGCGACTTCGAGACACAAGCTACCTAGGCAGGGCGCACGCTTTGCACATAGCTCTTATTTTAAGGCTGCCAAAGAATAAAGCGAAGAAAAGAAAAGAGAGGAAAACTTTGGTCTGAGTTGCTTTCCCCCCCTCCCTTTGCCTCGGAGCACGGATTAAACCAGCAGCCCCTTCCCTCCACCCCTGCCGCTTTCACTCAGGGAAAGTAACGGGCGAAAGTACCGAGTGTCTGCGCCAGCTTCAAGCGTGGGAGTTTCAACAACCTCGCTGTCCATTTAACTTCCAAACATGAAGCCAAGCGTTGTAGATCTGTCCAAAGAGACAATCTTTGGGCGTAACACGCATTGTGAGACATCAAAAGGCCCTGGCGTTATGCGCACTGAGAAGCGCATTCAGCACGAAGGGTGCAATGCCTGTCTTTTCAGGGGCTCAGCCGCGGATTGTTTAACAAGTGACGTCGCCGCGGCAAGAAAACCGCGCTCCTCCAAAGATAAGGATGTAACATTAAATCTCGCTTTTTTGGATTTCAAAGAATCTCATCAAGGGCAGGGGCTGGCGGCTGCCGCGCCGGGGATGGGAGTCGTGCCCCGTGGATGTGAGCGCGCAGTGCCGCCTGCCCAGCTCCTCGCCGCCTGGGGAAACGGGGCAGAGCCGAGGCCGAGACCCCTCCACCCCTCAAACTCTGCCCATCTCCGGGCACCAGCCTTTTCTCTCCTCGGCCTCCGGAAGGCAGGGACGAGGAGCCTCCTCCCGGAGACCGGCTCGCAGCCCGGCAGCGGCCAGTGGGTTCACCCAAGAGTTTGAGTGCTGACTGTGGGCTGAGGAGCGTGGAGACCACTTCTTGCCCTTCACCGCAGATGCAGATCCCCTGTGCCCTTCCCATCCATGGGAGATTTCCTTTGCTTCCATCCTCTGTCATAAATTATCCCACCTGGACTTGGCACGGCAGCCCCCCTTACTCCGGGAAATCAGGCCGTATCCGAGGAAATGAAGAGGTGCCCCCGCACTCAGGAAGGACAGGTCCCTGGCTGCCCTTTCCGGGACTGCCAAACCCCTCTTGCCCCAGTGCCCTCCTGCACCTCGTGGAGCAGGGGTGGTGGAGGGTGGT